AATATATATCCAATTAACATCAATTTTAGGAATAATTCTTACTAGAAAAACAATATGGCAATAAAGGGGAAAGACAATTTCATATTCAATCCATCCTCATTGAACAAAGTAAAAACTATAGCTGATGAGCATTTTATATCTTTAATGGAGATAAATTTAAACACGATACGAGCTTCTTTTCGTTCCTAACATTCGTCGTACGTTGTCGCCATTGATATCAAATCTCCCGGAAGAAGTCGGTGAGAACGTAGCCAATGCGGCATCACGAAGATGTTGAAGATTCAGACCGGCGCTTAAATTAAATTTAACACAGCGTGCGACGTCGACGTAAGCTCGTCTCGCTCCCTTTTTCCTTATATTTGTTCGTTATTCCCTTTTACAGGATAGTTTCTGATGGTTCGTGTAACTCTCAGGAAAGTCCCGGGGAATCCGAGGAGTTTTTATCGTCGAGTATGTCGGGAGGAGCGGAAGAGAGATCTTGGGATGGATGTTGAGGATATAACAGCGCGCCACTTTTTTGCTGTAGCTAAATCATCTTTAGAAATTTTTGCAAGCTCTCTTTGTCCCTGCGATCGTTCGTCAGGATTTTCAGGATGCGTGACGAAGAGATCTCTCATTCTTTCGCGAACTTCAATGATTCGTGACATCCAATAATGTATGGTCGATTTCTTTATTCGTAAGAATACTAGCTCATTTGTCGAAGATTTCGCATAATATATCGAATATAAATTGTAATCGCGTCAAAAGAGACTTTATAAATTCACACGTTGCTCAATAAATGTAAAAAAAAAGAGAGAAAATTGTTATGTCGTTCCGTAATAAAGCTCCTTGATTATTCAAAACCGTTCAGAATCATAAGAACGTTCATTTTATATCTCTTAATGAATTTCTAATTGCAAGATAATAACGCATAATTACGATGTATTTGCTCGAAAGATTGCGCGTAGCGGAATTCAGTTGAAATTCCCAACAGCAAATATTAATTATTGTGTAACTATCTCAGCTGATCGAGAAAGTTTGTTTCTATCGTGACAATTTCTCCCTCCTCTCTCCTCTCTCTTTTATCGACTTATGCCATTCACCTATGTACATGAATTGAAAATATCGGCTTTGTAAACTAGTTCAATATTAAGATATTAGATAAACACGTTTTATTATCTATAAATACGTTATTATATATAATTAAAACAATATATATTTTACGAGAAATAAAACTGTGTGATAATTTAATAATAATAACTTTGTAAAAAGACCTGTTTCCTGGAATAATTATTTTGTCTTTATTTTGTTTTGATTAATAAATGGTTAAACGATAGCAAAGATAAAGAGGCTCGTTTTGTTAAAGAAGAGATACAGAATTATAGAATCTATCTTTTTTATATTCCGAATTTACTACAGTACTTCTTCCTCTCCCTTTCCTCTCTCTTTACAGTCCTCTGTTTATCTAGATAAAACGTGAATCACTTTAAGAGAGCGATAACAACATACATGTAGACCACCGATATGTAACACTGGTTGAGAGAATTGATAACGACCATTATTTTCGTGAACTTCGCAGTTTCAATTGTAATAGTAGTATCATTTTTTTTTCGTGACGTTGTTATATGATAAAATGCATTGGTGATAAAATGCATCATTATTGTGTATTTCGAAGCATTCATCTGAAATGTTTACTCGTATTAACATCGCTAAATATCAAGAAACAATATCCTCTACTAAATTTTTATTTCCTTCAATGTATGAGTGATTAACTGTTTTTTAGAAAAAATTTAAATTTGCTGTCGCTTCACATACTTTCGAGGAGCTGCGTATTTTTGCAAATTTTGTAATTTATTGATATCGATATACAATATAAGATAAGAACTTGAACGTACACTAGTAGTTTTTAATGTATTTTAATGTATCTTCAAAAATTTATACCAAATTATGATATCGATTAATTATTTGTTATATTATCATTAGATATTCTCTTTGCTCAGCTAAATTATATTTTAACTTTTTAATTTATATAATTTTGTTTTCGTATGAAAGAAAAATTTTTAGTATTTATGACTATAATTGTATGATAAAATAATTATGGTTAGGAACTCCGTTTTTATAATTATTAGAGTGCTAGTAATAATTATATTATTATTTGGTAGTAAGTAATAACAATTACATTATTATATGATAATAAATAATAACAATTATATTATTATTACTTACCAAAAAGAATATATGATTTTCCCCAAAAACGGCTATAATTTTATACAACCATATATTCTTTTTGACATAGAACTATAATAAACATAATTATATTATTATACTAATGTTATAACAATAATAAAAATGAAACTCGATCGTATAATACTTTCCATACAATCATAATTATTAATACAAAATCTTTTTCTCTTAGAATACATAATTTTCTTATTGTACTATCAATATCGACATTACACACAAGTCTTGTATAAATATATATATGTAATGTGTGTATATATATATATATATATATTCCACATATAAATAAATCGCAATTATTATTCGTGGTTTATTGTAAAATTATAACTGTACATAATTTTTTGAAGCAATTTACATGACTCTGCAATGGCAGTAATGCGTAAAAGTAACAATTCTATTCTCCATAAGAAAAACATTTAAATTAATAAAGCGAACAAAATTTTTATATTCTTAGGAATACGAAAAAATAGTAAATTTATATTTTTTTTATTTAATAATTATTTATTAATTTTATTTAATAATTGTATAGATTACTAATGTTGATTCTCATGTAAGACGTTAAATAAAGTCAGAAAAAACTGATCACATATCGCGTAATATAAGGTTACCTTATTCAGTATTGTACAATGACAATATATTAATTTTTATGACTGGATAACAACTCTTTCGTCGACCATTGCAATGCGATATTTGCTCTTTGCATTTTTTATGATGTCGATGTGAACAATTTGTGTCACTTGAGAGCGAATCTATGGCCTAGCATGTATAAATAGACACTAGAAAAATATGTACGTCTGATAAATATTTCTTTACACTCTATAGTATGAATTGTAGAACAGTAACAATGTCATAAGTCAAGAAAATATTCTCGCGATATAAAATATAGTCCTTTTGTAAAACATTTCACTTTCGATTTTCACAAATTAATAAGAATTTTCACGATTTAATAAGAATTATGTTTAAAATTAGATTGATCGACAATTTTTTCATTCGATCGTGCACCTGCAAGGCTTAAAGAACATTATAATAATATTCGAACTTTACAAAGCTATATACGCAAAGGGAAGTTGCTGGCCCACCGAAAATAGCATGTGAATGGTCAGCACAAAATCCTCCTCTTTTCACAATTTTTTTCACTGCTCAAGCACGGTTTTTACGAGCGATCGTCGACCTTTTTATTCTGGACTTATAAAAGAGCCCCGCGGCGAACCGAAGATACGCAACGCTTCTGGGATTTGACGGGCAATCTCGCGTTATCCATCCCCGACCAATAAAATACATTTGCATGGTGACAAATGTTCCTGTGCACAAATGTTCCTTGCGGGGGAATCGACTCGTGTGACGTGACAGAGTTAATATCGGATGTAAAATTTTATGTCTCGATTTTCTCCGTTGAATAAAATTCGGGTCTCTTGTTTCAGCGCGACATGTAACTTGTATGAGAACCACCATCATATGGATAATTAAAAGATATTAGAAATGCAATGTGTCAAAATTATAGTACACGTTCTATATTCCTCCTCTTTCGTGTTTCCATAATATGATGTCACATGCTATAAGTTACGTTCTTATTTGCATCGCGATATAACAATCTCAAATTTTAGGAAAATGTGTTAGTTAAGGCTTGTCAACGACAGCAAGAGGTAAACTCAAAAGAAGCTGCTCGCGACAGTAGACGGCCTGTTTATCGTTTTTTTTTCTGTTCTTTTAGAAGGTATACAAAGAGAAGAATATCTCGGCATGAGATCATTGTAGTTCGCCGTTGTATTAACATTACACGCATGTATACTTATTTCTTAATCTTTTCGCGGAGTGGAAACTCCTTTGGAAATTATGCAATTTACAGTAGAAATTTAGAAACGTTTCTACTCCCGTAGATTTTAATGCCATCAGTCCTTCATATCGAATGCGAATAAGTGTGTAATGAACATCCGATAAGCGTACCGCGAGTGCAATGTTAACTGTGCGATATGCTAATCGACAAAATAGACTTTGCTATTGTAAGAACACCTGGCACAGTGTCAGCTTACCGCTGTCGAGGTGACGACGAAATGTTTCTATTTCGCTGTCGTATACGTGAACGAGGGTGCGCCACAAAGATACGAAGAAGGGCAATGAACTGAACGCATCGCGTGTCCAAAAAGGCCACGCCGCATTATGATGGCGGCGAAGTTTATCTATTGCTGTACGTCTATCCGTAAATATATTTCTATTACGAAAATGTTAGGTTTCAATAAAAATGCTAAAAGATATAAATATCATCATTAATGTAACGTACTGTCAACAAAAATAAAATATTACTGTCACGCGCATGTGTCTAATTATGAATATATCTTGAAAAAGAATAAACGTTTTATGATGTTTAAAGTAGCTTCATTATCAATATTATCATTATATAAATATTATATACTGTTTTAATAAAATCAAAATATAAAAGAATTGACACACACAATTGTTATATAAATAACTTTTTGTTATATATACGTAACATCTAATTTAATTATAATAACATTGATGCGAGCTCACGTGAGGGAAATAAATTCACTCGAAAAGCATTTACTCCTTCAAGATTTAATTTGTTTCTAAAATGTCAAACATTAATTTTTTAATTATATGATACAAACGTCGGAACGATTTGACTTTGAAGTTCAAAGTATATAATTAAAGAAATAAGCAACGTCAAGAGGAGCTATGAAATTCAAATAAATTCAAATACGACACGCCCGAGTCGCAGACTTCAGAATCTCTCGTGATTCCTCGATGTCTCTGGGAGCACTCACCTTGTTTCCATACCAGAACCCGCAAGGATGTCACGCTGCGCGCCGTACGCAAAACGATGTTCCGTGGAAGGCGGTGGCGCAGGACGTGTCCGCGGCACTCCTTCAAAGTGTCGTCGACGCTGACGATGCTGTTGGTAGTGATGCGGTTGTTGATGCTGCGGTTGTTGATGTTGCTGCTGCTGCTGTTGCTGCTGGTGGTGATGATGATGGACGACTGACGGATTAATCTGGATGCGGTGGATCGCGCTTGGCACCCTCCAGCAGAGCACATATGGAATCACGAAGTCAGGCTTGACCTGCACCAGCGGCAGCAGGCGATATTCGATCTCGCGTGGATTAAAGGACACCGATCGCCTGTTCGTATTACTGCTCGACCCGCGCACCAGAAGACGACCCTCTCCACGGAGGACGTTGTAGTTGCGCCAGCCAAGGTCACGGGGTAACATGTCACGAGGACATCCCTGCCAACCACGAACTACCGGCTCCTTGTACGTCTCGCCATAATGTCAAGGATGTTTCTCTCGTTCTTCACAGAGAAGATCTTTAAGGCGTAAACTTGTTTTATGCGACGATATATCTCTTGATCAATGTCGCTAGATTAATCGAGAAGATGACTGTCCATTGCCATAAATAGAGGATTCCCTTCGCTTATGATAAGATATACCGTATATAATTGGGCAAAGAGGCAATGCAGAAAACTGCTACAAGTTGCTTGCTTGTGATTACACAGGCAGCTTGTTTAAATTCACTTGGCAATCGATAGAAGCTTCGTGTATTCGCTGTGTACTCGCTGCCACTGAGAGACGAGGCACTTTGTCGCACACAGGAATATCCGCGATAACGAAGCAATGCGAAACTTCTAAGGGCGAGTCTCGATTTATTGTTTCTTTTTTTTTTCGGATCGTGGATTCGATTAAGGTTAATTATTTTAACGTGTTCGCTCGCGAATAATGCCGGGCGTACCAGACGGGCGAGACTGGACTCGGGAGCGTCATCCTCGAGCGGCGAGCGCGTGTGCTTGCGAGGAAATTCGGGATCACTGGGAGGACCGGGAGGGCGGCGAGACAAGCGCCCGGCACTCCCTTCTCGCGCGACAGCACTCCGACCTTAGCATCGACTTCCACGACCGGAGCCGAACGGTGCGAGAGCGAACGAACCCAACGAACGAACGGACGTAGAACGAAAGGCGAGAGAGGAACGCAGCCCCCAAGGATCTCCGCAGCGCGCCACGAATTTCAAACTGGGCTGCGCGCGCAATTTACGTGCCTCAGGGCTGTCTCAAAGAAAGACCGTCGCGAGAGGGGTGTCGGCCGGCATCCAAAAAGGTTCAACGACTTCTGGTGTCTTCGATTTTTCCATCGAATTTTTCAAACGATTTTATGAATATTAAAGTTATATATGATATTTATAATAGACTCAAGTAAGATCTCAAAAAAAAATTAATGTTGGCAAAAATTAATGTTGGATGTGATTATTATTAACTAATTTTGTAAATAAATAATAAATTAGATGTGCTGTCGAATGAATTGTCGACGTACGTTGATATTATCAGTCGATAATAATATCAGCTTTTCTATAAATTTGATGACTTGAATAATCTTTTAATATCTTTTAAATAGTTGTTCAGTTAGATTTAGAAGTTTTAGATTACATTCGCACAGCAAATAAGCAATAAGATCCCACGGCATTTATATTTATACGATTACAATCGAGTTGGATCCGACGACATGAAACAATATTCAATTAGAAAACGCCATACCTGATTAATAAACATCAGTAAAAGATAGTTGTCTATAATGTATCATTCAAAAGATATTTAACTTGACCTCACAATAAACGCTCTATCACCTAAGCGACGGGATAATTAAATGACTCGATCTGCCAAGACGTTAAAAGAGACTGCCAAGTCGAGAGACGATAAAACCGCGTACAGCTAGTAGCTGATGTCAATTTAACAAGTGTCTAAATGCCAGTTCAGAAGTCATCGTCTTTCGCCGACGAAGATAAAAAATTTCTTATTAGTTATTCTTGCAAAAGACTTCTAGTAGAAAGCTCGTCAAGCCTGTATTAGATTAGGTATAGATTAGAGATTGAGGAGATTGCGAGTCGGAGATTAGAATTCAACCAATTAGAACAAAATGGATTAAAATTAAAATTATGATTGATCGAATTCTAATCTTCAATTCTCAATCTCTAATGCGTAGTCTGATGTGGGCTTTAGATGAAACGCGTATGCAGGTGAGAGGCGGCCTTCTTTCGCAGATTCCCCTCTTTCTTTATCGCTTGTTTTTATCGGTTGCAATCGTGTCATCACCGTTATTATGACTCCACCGACACTTAATACCGCACGTTTTTTTGTTGCCTGCGTACATTTTTATTTTACATCGATGCTTTTCACGCGAATGCAATCGATCCGGGACATAGATATGGCAATTTTCCATTGCTATTACAAGACATTAAAGAGATGCTGAAAAAGATATACAAAAAAGGTAAATAAGATAAAGTGTTCAGTCTCTGTTTGGAAAACAGATTATATTGTTCAGATAATTTTAGTTCGCTATAAATCTATGTCAAAAAAAAACATTAAAATTTCAATCTTTAATTTCAAATGATTTTTAGAAGATTGTTGAAAACCAAAGGTTGAAGAGAAAATATATTCCATAAAATTGTTAGACGCTGATTTATAAAAGATTTTATAAAAATTCAAGTTTTGTTAAACATTATTAACCATAAACACTACTATATAACTTAAGAGTACTTAATAATTTACTGAAGATCAATATTGCTTTTCAGGTAGGGAAATAATATGTACAATATTAATTTTACGACGATTTTCGATCGGCCGGTTGCAATTGCCGTTTAATCAGCATCGGTAGCGCCGCTAATGAGCACGAATCAGCCATGAAATCTCGATTATACGGTTATGTGTATCCGCGGTGCCGTTAGCCCGATATCTTTCCGCCCGGAATGACACTGCACCTGCACCGGGCGACGCGGTCAAAACACTTGAAAATTCCGCAGGGGAGGGTCGGAGAGGTTAAATGATCGCGAAGGTCGTTTGCACCTGCTTGCATCGACCCTCTCGTCATGCAACTCCCGCAGGTGCATTGGAGACGCATCAAGGACACCTCGTGGCTTAACGAGTTATTTTTGTTCCTGTTTCGTATAATATCGTCAAGAAATACACACATCGTTTTCATAAAATTTGTATACCAGCAATGTAGGAATATGTTCAATAACTATACATAGACTGCTCCCCTTTTGATGGCACAGTTGACACAAATACTGTTTTATTTTTGTTATCATTGAATAAAAGCATAGAATGATGTTTGTGTCGACTGTGTTTCTTAAAAGGAAAATGAAAAATATTAGAATTGGAAACGATTTTTTCTCAATGACAATTTGATTTTTATATTTTCTCGCAGGTTTCTGAAAAAAAATATAGTCAATTTTAATAAATATTTGTTAAATATAAAGATATATTTATTTGATACAAGAAATGTTAATTTGATTTAATAATCAATTTTTGTATTGAACAAATATTCATTTATTATAAATAAATGTTCAGTTGGTAGTATTGAACTAAATATTTATTAAAATTGTTTATATTTTTTTCTCAGTATAAGATTTTATACAAAATATTCGTGGCTGACGTAATGATCTCGATAGAATATGCACTACTATAGGTTTAATAGTACTACTATAGTAGTCCTGATTAAACTGAAATGCGAGTATCAAGTATCACTTCATAATATCACGTACGCGATTAATCAGCTTTCGATAATATTAGATGTATATATACATATATACGTATATGTATAAACATATATATATACATGTATATGCACAGTATACTAGGTTTAATTAACCGCTTAATTGATTAATGCATTAATCAAGACAGAATTACATAGCTTACGGAACATTGCGTTGTAATTCTCATTAAGTAATATTTATTTATTTATTCATCGGTTAATAAATATCTATATCAACTTAAATGTCGATGCATGCAATTGTCATATTATCTACTATATTTGTCATTAAATATCTCCAATAGGATTAAACACGCTATGATTGAGCAAAATGACATATATAACTGTTAATTTTTCGATCTAACATTCACCTTTCTCGCGGAGAAAAGGACACACTGAAACACACACTGAAAAAAAATATAGTCAATTTTAATAAATATTTAGTTGAATACTGCCAATTAAATATTTATAAAGATATTTTTATTTGATAAAAGAAATGTTAATTTAATTTAATAATCATTTTCTTTATTGAACTAAATATTTATAAAAATTAACTATATTTTTTCTCAGTGCACTAAATGAATTTCAAGGATGCTTCTTTAATTTTTCTCTCACGAGAAACAGATCAATCATACTAATAAGAAATCATACTAATAATTAAGACCACCACCTGCGCATGTAATTCTAAAAATCAAGAAGTCATATATCTAGAAATATAATATTTTATTATATTCTAATCTTTTTCTAGATAAAATTTATATAAACGTCTTTTATCTTTATTAAGAATTTGCAATAATAAGATTAATTCATTTACACTTAAGAAAAATCAGTTTTATATTCTTCGAGGATGAATTTCTTTGTAATGTTCGTGCGATTGAAAAATATAAACGCGGGTCTTGTAATTTTTAAATAGATAAATGATTAAAGATATGTAGTTGTGGTAGGACTTCATCTCCCAACTAAAACAAAATTTTTTTTGGGAGTATTCTGAGTAACCTCAAAAAATTAATTTTATATATAAAAACACAAAGAAATTCATTCTCAAGGAATGTAAAATTGATTTTCCTTAAAAGTAAATCAATAAATCTTGTTATTACAAATTCTTAGTGAAGATAAAAAACGTTTATATAAATTTTATCCAGAAAAAGATTACAATATAATATTGTATAATATTGTATCTAGATATATTTAATTAAAAAATCGGTTCGAATATATTTCATGTATAAATGTTATAAAAGTAATATATACGTTATTATAATATATCACATTGCGAGTTTCGTGTTCCACACCCCAATGATCCTAGTGAACGAAAACTCGATATGTCACGATTCGCAGATACAGCGTGTACTGTAGTGACCTTCGTCGGCGATCGGAAAAGCGATCGATCATATCGTTGCAGAAGATCGAGAGTATCTCCCTTGTCCGGCAATGTGGATTTGATCGACGCTAGGTCGGAGGCAATTCGCAATTATCGGTTATGGTAAGAAATTAATTGGCAAGAAGATCGCGGCAGTCGATAGCGATCTCGAGTCGGAATCGTGATAGGCACACGATCGTGGGCATCCTTTC